CCCCCGCCGCCCCCGCCCCCATGGACGTCGTCTCCACCACCGCCATCGTGCCGCAGTCCTCGAACTCGAGCTCTGCCGCACCCATGGACGTGGCTCCTGCTTCGGCACAATGAATTCATTGCCCCCGCTCATCACGACGACTTGCGGCGCCGCTTCTTGGTTGTCTTGGTCGTCTTCTTCTTGCGCCGCTTCTTACTCACTTTGGTCTCGCCGTCAGCATCTGACTCTGCGTCGGCCTTCTTCTTCCGCCGCTTCTTCTTGGTCGTCTTGGTCGTCTTGGTCTCCACCGTAGCCACATCGTCGGCATCCGACTCGACAGCCTTCTTCACCTTGCGCTTCTTCTTGGACTTCTTCTTGACCACCTTTCGCACTGGCGCTGAGGCCGAGCTGGAGGCCGAGGCCGAGCCGGAGCCGGAGCCAGAGCCAGAGCCGGAGCCAGAGCCAGAGCCGGAGCCGGAGCTGTAGCCCGAGCCGGCGTCCGAGTCCTCAAAGTCCAGCGAACTCGAGTTGGAGCTGGAGCTCCCGCGCGGCCGCGACTTGACCCGGATCGTGCCCTCACGGCCGATGTTCTCGGATGAGTCGTCCTCGTCATACACCTTGTTGAGCAAGTTCTTCGATTTGGCCTCGCGCTTCTTCATCGCCGCCAGCCGCTTGGAAGGCTTGCTCCGCAGCTTCTTGAGCCGCTTGCGGTCGGTGAGGAGCTTGGCGCACGTGTTGTGGTCAAGCTTGTTGGCCAGATCGGCTGCCGAAAACGCCTTGGAGCCGTACGCAAAGTCGAGCTCGCGCAGCTCGCCAGCCTTGTCGCGAACGTCCGAGTGGATGTGCCCAATAAGAGTCTTGGTCGATGTGTCCGTCGTGTACACTGCAATCTCTTCCAGCGACGCCTCGTGGTTGAAGAGAACCGCAAGGTGCGCCGGCGGCGCATCCTTCACCGCGTACCGGTGTGAGACCGGCACCCCAAGCCGGTACACCTCCTCGGCAGGCGCCGTCGCCACAGACGGCTCGATCTTGAGCAAGTATGCCAGTGAGTCGACCCGGCCCCACAGCACGCACAGGTGCGCCACCGTTCCGTTGATCACCCGGCCCTGGGTCGCCAGCAGCCGCTCGCCGTTGGCCGCCGCGTGCACGTCCGCGCCAAGGCCCACAAGCGTCTTCATCACAGAGTGCCGGTACAGGAGGACCGCAAGCTGCAGCGGCGTCACCTCGGTCGCCAGGTTGATCCCCACATGATACGAGACCCGGTACGCCGCCTTGGCCCGCGCGTTCACGTCGCACCCCTTGCCCACCAGATACTTGACCATGTCCGGCTTGTTGTACAGCACAGCCAGATGCAGCAGCGTCCCCTTGTTCACCACATACTATTCATCCGTCACACACCACCCCAGTCTCGCATGTGAGCACCCAGTACCCTTCCTTCCCCCCCCACCTCCCCCCCTGTCTCACTGCAGCCACTTCCGCCTGCGGGCTTTTTTGCTCTTCCAACCAAACCTACCTCCTGAACTCGCTCCAGCCCGCAGTCCCAGTCGAATACCACCGCCACATCACCACCACCATCACACCAGCTCGTCTGTGAGTCCTGCACACTATACCTCTACCTCCCCTTGCTTGCTACGCTTGCATCTTGTAGTCCTCACCCCCCCCCCCTCCCCCCCCCCCCCCTTCCCCCCTCAGTCCCCCCAACGGGCGGCCACCGAACACAGAGGCACCTTCCGCCGCTAAAGTCACCTACCGACAACTCGTGGTGAAGGGCAGAGGTGTAGCGGGTGGCACGCTTGCGCTTGGACGAGCAGTACTTCTTGAGAACCCACTTTTGCGAGCCCTTGATAGCCTTCTCGACCTCGGTCTTGACGCCCATGACGCAGCGGAAGAGGTGTGTACCCAGTGTCGCCAGTCCGCAGCCGCCTGCTGCCCCCCCCGCCCCCTGATCGATCACCTTCGCGCCACCGATCGATCGACTTGCCGGCGTCGGTGATCGCCAACACCCCACGCCGACCCCGCCCTTGCCCCGACCGCCTCTCCGCCCCGCACCCCACGCCCCTGCCCCACACTCCCACGGCATGTTGTGGGTCAAACATGAGCTATTTGCCCATCAGCTCTCCTTCCTTCGAGAGCGCATTGGCTCGCTCAACAAGCTCCTGGACGTGGCACACTCGCTTCGCGCCGCTTGTGACCCCACGACGGCCTCGATCTCGTACGACCTTTTCCTGCTCCCCAACCCCCGCCCCCAACCTCTGCTCCCTCGCTACTCACGCTCTCTCGCACCACAGGCTCAAAGACTGGCTCAAGCTCGCGCACAATGAGCTCAATCTCAAGCCGGACTTGGGGCTTGTCGCTTTTGATACCTTCCGGGTCCTCGCGGCGCCGCTGGTGGCCGTCTCGGCCGTCAATGACAGCGGGGCGTCGTCGTCGTCCGGCGGCGATGACGCTACCGCCGGCCTCCCGTCTGTCTCGCGGGTAGTGACCGAAGACAAGGTTGATGCCACGCTGTTTGTGCTCTTCCTTTTTGTTCAGCTCTACCACCCGCACATGCTCCGGTCGCAGCTCGTCGAGCGGGTGGAGAACTCGCTCCTCCGCTACGAGGAGCGGATGCAGACCGAGTGGGTCCGCGCCCACGCCCGCCATCTGGTCCAGCTCCTCATCCACGGCACCGCCGAAGACGTGCTCTTCCGCAAGCACCACAAGGCGCCCACAAACGACACCCTCTTCTCGTTCACCGCCATCCCTCTCGCCCGCACCGAGGTTGCAAAGCTCGCCCTTGTCCTCGGCTCGGGCTACGACCACTTCCACATTGCGCCGCCGTCGCAGTTTCTCGTCCCCACTACTCTCGATGCAACAGCTGCCGTCATTGCCGGCCCTGCGCTTGTCAACTACATCACCGCTAACCTGACGGTCAACACCACGGCGTACCCGCTGCTCCCGCTCCGCCGCCGCCCGCTCAACGAGGCCGAAGAGACAGAGATCTACACTTTTGACAACATGCCCGCCGAGCCGGCCGTACCCTACACCGAGCACGCCTCTTTTGCCAGCGAAGAGCGGTACGAGTCTGCGCCGCCGCTCGTCTATCGCGACATTGCCAAGAAAACAATGGGCAAGGTCTCGGCCGGCCTCTGGTCGTCGTCGCTCCGCTCGCTACACATTGTGCGGTGCAAGCACCAGTACATGTACTTTCTGGGCCCGCACGACTACGTCACCATCTACGGCTGCAAGAACTTGACCATTGTCGTTGGCGCTGTCGCCAAGGCTGTCCGCGTGCAGCGCTGCGTCGGCGTCCGCCTCATCTGCGCCACCGCCGCCCTCACCGTCAAGAACTGTGTCAACTCGTCGTTTTACCTCTTCTCGCTCACTCGCCCGCTTCTCAAGGAAAGTCCGAGCGCCTCACCTTTGCTCCGTTCAACACACACTACCCGCTCCTTGGCGCACACCTTGAGCGTGCCGGCCTTGACCCATCGGCGCCCAACAAGTGGAACGAGGTCATCTCGCTCTACTCGGCCGCCGCCGCAGACGCCGCCGCCTCACACGCCGAGCTGGCCTCTATTTCCGAGCGCGACGCGTCGACGTCGTTTGCCCTGCTCAAACCTGACAAGTTTACGCCGTTTGTCGTTCCGCTGCACATGGAGGGCGCGACGCGGAAGAACCCGTTCCCGCTTCCGCCCTCCTTTGCCGACGCCCTCGCCGCCCGTCAGGCCGAGATCGACTCGTTCCTTCAACTCATCTCCAACCCGCCGCTTCCCCTCGAGCAGCACGCAGAGTTCCAAAGCATCATGCACAAGCGCTTTCGGGAGTGGATGTCCAAGTCGTGTCCCTCGGCCCTCCGCGAAGTCCATCAGCTCCTCCTCGCTGCCAACGTCGAGCGAGCCTCGCGCCTCCCGGAGCAGTCGGTCGTCTCGTATCCGTTGCCGGACACCGACCGCACCGACCGCACCGACCGCACTGACCGCACTGACGCCTCGCGCGGATGACTTGCCTTTGCTGGCGATGCCCTGCCGGCGCAGCAGGTGTCCAACGTGTGCCGTTCACGGCGCCTGCAGCTTGGAGATGTACTGGATCACCTTTTGCCGCGTCTTGCGGCCGAGATCGCCTGCTCCCGACGAGACCAGCCCGGTCAGCTGCTTCACCGAGTACTCGCCAAAGTGGTCCTTGATCCACGGCATGATCTCGTGCTCCTGCAGGTAAAAGGCCTTGACAAAGCCCTCGACTCGCGCCATCCCAGGCAGCGGCGAGAGTCGTGTCAGCTTGGACAGCTCCGACCGGAAGACAGAGAGGTCCAGGAACATCAGCGCTCGACCCTCAATCGAGCACTTTTTCGTCGTCGCATACCCCTCGACAAGCATTGTTGCCATGCATTCGATGATCGATGCCCAGAGCTTGTCCTGGATCTCGCTCGGCACCACGGTCTCCGAGAGCGACGCAAACCGCGAAGCAAGCATCTGCGACTCGCGCGTCAGCAGGTTGACATATCCGTTGTGCTCCATGCCCACTTCTTTCGGACTAAAGTTGACCGAGTTGAGCGCTTGCCACGACGCGCTGAGGTCGATAAGCCGCGTCCCCACGTTGGCGTACATGTACTCGCGCAGCGGGTTGAGCTGCGCCACGCTCGTCTCGTAAAACGAGGCCACTGCCCCGCGCAGCTGCTTGTCCACAGACTCCTCCACCTGCGGCCGGACCTCGCGAAGTACCTCGCCTACAAACACCAGCGACTCAATGCCTACCACCCGCTCCGCCAGCCCGTACAGCGTCGTCGGCGAGCCGAGGTTGACAATCGAGCACAGCGAGGGCAGCGACTCGAGCGGGAGGAGGCCAAGCCCGCGGACAACAAACGCCTCCAGCCCGGCGTCCACCGCCGAATCCGCACGCACAAGCGCTAACACGCGCGTCGTCTCGCTTTCCGGCGAGCTGCCGCTGCCACTCGCCACCGCTCGCGCCAGCAGCCCCGTCAGCGAGTTGGACGATGACGATTTCGGCATCTTGCCCTTGCCTCCCTTGCTTCCCTTGCCCCCGCTGCCCGAGCTGCCCACGCCCAGCACGCCCGAGCCGTCGCCGGCGCTGTTGCTGCCGCCGCTTCCGGTCCCGTTGCCGCCGGCGTTGCCGCCGCTTGCGCTGGCGCCACTGCCGCTCTCGCCGGCGCCTGCCCCGCTCTCGCTCGCCGCACCGCCGGCCGTCCGTGGGTCGAGCGTAAGCTCGCGGACAAGGTCCTGCCCGCGGAGGCCAAACAGCTTGAAGACTGAAAACACGTAGAAGAGAAGCAGCTCCTCCATCCCGTTGAGCACCTCGCCCGAGCATGCCTGCAGCGCCGGGAGAAGGTGGGTGTACTCGGCGAGCGCGCGAAGGAGCGAGATGGTGGCTGAGCCGACCAGCGGTCCGCCGCGCTCGCCGGCAGCCACCTCGCCTCTGCCACCTGCATCGCCACTGGCGACGACGGAGGCGGCTTCGTCGACCGGCGGCGCAAGCGCACGGAATGGGTTGCCCTCCATCGCAAACCGCTCGGTCAACGAGAGACGGCCGCCGGTTGACGCTGTCGCCGTCACTGGGCGCGCCAGCACCGATTGACGTGGGCGAACAAACTTCAGGTCTGCCACTCCGTACGAGGCGTGGACCGGCCACCGCTGCCAGGTATCGTTCTCAAGAATGGTCTTGAGGTGGTCCAGCGCCTTGGCATGCGCCGTCTCAAAGTACGTCGTCGCAAACGCCCGGGTCGCCGCTCGCAGCGACCCGCACTTGGTCTCCGAGTACTCGTCGCCGATGACGGCGAGGCCAGTCGCCAGCTCGAGCGTGCCAAAAACAGCCGACGGCGGGAGAAGCGCCACGTTGGCCACTGACACAAACGAAACCACATACCGCTCCAGTGAGGCCCAGAGCTTGTCTGACCGCAGCTCCCGGAGCATCGCGCCCACGCCCACAATCAGCGGCATTTCCGGGGGAAGCTCACTGGCATCTGCGGCTGCGGCCGCCGCGGCCCTGTGCCATGACTCGACGGCAGAGTAGTTGTACAGCAGGTCGCACCCGCACGCCGCAAGCTCGCGGAGCGTCTCCACAAACGCGTCCTCGGGCACCAGCGCTGCAAGCTCCTTGAACTTGAACTTGGTCCGGTACATCCGCATCTTTTTGCTCGATACCTTGCCGTCGCGTGCTACCACAGAGAGCACCACGTTGCGCGTCGCCAGCCGCACCGCATCGACCACAATCGAGCCAAGCGTCTTGACAGAGACCTCCTTGCCGGCCGCGGCGTAGCCCGAGAGTACTGCACCGTATCGCTCTGCATCAAACGAGACAAAGGCCTCGCGGATGGCGTCGCCCATCGAGACCACTGCCGCGTTGCGCGCGTTGGTCACTTGTGCTCGCAGGTGCGATGCGCACACCAGCGTCGGCGGCTCGCGCGCGGCCTGGTCCTCGACGGGGCTGTCATCGGCCACCTCGTCGCATTTGCCATTTTCATCTTCTTCTTCGTCGACTTTGTCCGCTTCCGCCACACGTGCTTCGGCTGCGTCGAGCGCCGCCAGGACCTCGTCTGCCAGCGTCACGGCGTCGGCAAACGCACCGAGCTCGAGCTGCGCGTCGATGGCGGCCGGCGCCTGCTCCAGCGACGACAGGACCGAGAGCAGGTCCAAGACGGCGGTAGCCGTCGCTTTGCACTCTACCGCCGAAGAGACTGCCAGGCCCGAGGTAGTCAGGTTGTCGCGCGCGGCGCCCAGATTGCGGCGGCCGTTAGAGCAAATGACTCCTGCAAACTGCAGATCGGTCTCCACCTCGCGGACCCGCTGCATGCCCGAGACAAACGAGTCGTACGACTCTTTCAGCCGCGCGTCGAGTACACGTTGGATCCGTGCCAGGCCGGCGTCGAGCACAGCCTCCTGCTCCTCCAGCCAGTCCACAGGCACGGTCGAGCCGCGACCGCCACCAGGCAGCGACTCAAAGACATAGGCCAGCCCGTCCCGCCCGGTTTCAAAGAACGCCTCATCGACCTCAAAGTCCTTCGGCCGCACCAGTACCATCTCTGCGCCGTCCCCTTCGTCCTCACCCGGACCTGCACCCTCCGCAGGAGCTGCAGCCTCAGCCCCAGTCCCGACCGACGGCTCTGCCCCTGCCTCCTCAGTGCTCGTCCGCGCTCCAGGACGAGCCAGGGATGCGACCACAGTAGCCATGCGTGTGTATGTGTTGACAATTAAAGGCTACGCTTGGGATGGGGTGGCTGTGGAGGGGTGTGGTGTGAGTGTGTGTGCGTGAGCGTGTGAGGGGGAACGGGGAGGGGGGAGGTCACGCAGTGTCGCCGGTCGTCAACCAGGCTGCGGCCCCCCCTGCCTGCCCCCCCCTCTCCCTCGACATGGGCGTGATCAACTCAATCCTGGCTCACTATACTCCTTCTTTACCGATGGCTGTCTCATAATAATGCCCCCCCCCCCCCCTCTCCCCCTCTCCCCCCTGACATACTCTGTGGCTCTATTCGTTTCTGATGAGGTCATGGCTGTGACTGGCGAGTGCGACTCGAATCACACTGGCCGAGTCTGGGTCGAATCGCCAGGCGAGTCGCCAACCGAGTCGCAAGGAGGCGACGACGCTTCGTGGAGAGCTTCCAGACGAGTTGCCACACTCCACCCAGACTCTCCCATCTACGCCACCTACTCTCCAACGCACACCCTAACAACGAGGTGAAGCGTGTTGAAGTACTTTGACAAACGTTGATCTGCCTCTTTGTTTCGTTTCGGCTTCTTTTCCCACCTCCCCCCTTCCCCTTATCCCTCCCTCTGCTTCGAACGCGTGGTCTCCAGGTTCGATCAACCTTCGCAGCGTTCCAAAGAAGTCCTCAATAGAGAGTGACCAAAACCCGGCGCGCATTTCCGACGCTCACGCGCAACTACTTTGCCAACGCAACCCGTGACCACGACGTCGCCGTTGTAGCAGTCATTGTTCTTGTCACTCTCATCATTATTGTCTTAGTACTCTAAGCCTCTCTTTGCTCTGCATGTCTGATTCTGCACGCCATGCACGTTCCGCCCCTCTTGCCGTCCTCGACGCCGTGCGCGAGCAGGTAGCCGCCACGGCGTCGAACCCGACCGAGGCCCGCCTGTACGCGCTGATGCAGCGGATGTGCGAGCTCAATTGTGAGCTTGAAAAGTCGCGCTTCGACTCGCAACGCGTCCGCCAAACCAACGCCATCATCATGAAGCGCATGATGACCGCCCTCACCGCCAACCGCGAGCTCGCCGACCAGAACTCCCGCCTTCGCGGCGCTCTGACCCACCTTGTCAAGCGGGTCATCAACGGCCGCCAGATGGTCGGCCCGCCGGCTGTGGTTGCTTCCGACCTCGCGCAGCAGCCAGCTGCGGTCTCGCCCGCCGCTGCCACCGCCGCTGACGGTGCTGTGCCCGCGCCTGCGCGGCTCGCCGATCCGCGCCGCGCCCAAAGGCTGCAAGCCTCGGTTGCCGCTGCCCGCCGCGATCTCATCCATCGTCCGCCGCGTGTCCACCGCGCCTCGCGCTCGCCGTCGCTCGAACCTAAGCCGATTTAGCTCTCTCCTGTACCTCCCTCCCTCCCCCCCCCCCCTCCCCTTTCTACTCCCCTCCCCCCTCTACTATCGAGGGTGAGAGGAGAGTACTACGTTAATGTCTTTGTGTTGTTGTCTGTCTCTGTCGAGTGCCGCCTCACACCACTAATATCAGTGTGATCCATGGAATGGCAAAACAGCCCGCGCTCCACGCGATGCGGACCGCGACATCGTGGAGTTCGGCACCGCGCGGAACGAGTGCGTCCGACAGCGCCACGGTGGCCTTGAACACCAGCCACGAAGCCGCAACGTACAGCAGCGTGGCAAGCACAAAGTTGATGAGCGGATAGCCGTCAATGTAGACGGTGACAGCCTTGGCGTCGTGCGAGAGCCAGATGTGAAGCTGAAGGATGTAGGTCTCGAGCGTGATGCGTCCCAGCCAGGCAAACAGATGCATGTGCCAGTTGCGCAAGATCGTAAACATGTTGCGGAGGACAATGAAGAGCAGGATCGGAAGCCACGCCGTGTACGGATGTTGTGCGTTGTATGCGTACTTGTCGTTGGCGACTAGGATGTGGACAAACCAAAGGTAGCCGATCCAGAGGCAGACGGCGGCCAGCACAGCCTTGGTCGTGTGTCGCACCACCGGCCGCTGCGCGTTGAGTGCGCCCAGGATCTTGGTAGCCTGCGGATGTACATACGCGCTCGCCATGCCCAGCACCACCATGTAGTGGTCAAGATGCGTGCGAAAGTGCCACTCATGCAGCGACCCGTTGTACGAGAGCAAACCCGCAAGCGGAGCAAATACAACCTCAAACACACCCGGAATGTCAAAGAGCACAAAGTTGAAGACAACAAGAGCACAGAGCTTGCCTGTCATGAACGCGACCGACTCGTTCGAAGCGTGTCCGATGTACATCGTGACGTAGACCTGAAGAAAGGCAAAGGTGTGGAGGGCGCAGACGTAGTACAACATGTACTGCCGCTGCAGGCCGAAGCACACCACAGTGACTAGGAAGTTGAGGCGGAACATCATCTTGGTCAACCGAACCATGGAGAAGTCCTTGCGGATGTAAAAGTACGAAAAGTTGCCAAAGCCTGTCATCCAAACGTACGCCGCGATGAAGACCCGGATCATGTTGTACGTCTCCTTGGCAGCAAAGTAGTGGTAGAGCACAAACACCACCTGCATCCACCCCTTCCACTCCTCGGTCTGCTCGCGGTTGAGGATGACCGCATCCGCCTCGCAACCACCCTTGGTCGACCAAGAAGGCTTGATGGTGAGCAGCGCCGCAGCGCCGAGCGCCACGTTGAGAAAGGCAAACAGATCGCGCGAGTACTGCCGTGGCGCCGACGGCCAGAGCTTGATCGAAGGGTCGCCGTCGGCGGCATCGGCGTACAGCATCACAAGGCTGAGGAAGAGGACATGTCGCGCGAGGTCAAGCCCGCCCTTGCTCTGCAGATAGGCCTTGACCTTGGTGAAAGCATTGTTGGTGTTGAACGCCGGCGGCATACCAAGGTTTTCTCCACTGGTCGTACCGGCCTCGGCGTCATCAGCCGCCTTTGGTCCTGTTGCTGGCATGTCCACTTTGTCTGTCCCGCCTTCTGGCTGCAACTGTGCCAGTTCCTGGTTCGTGTACAAGAGTCTCAGGATCCACGTCGGAGCAAGGGCGCGGAACGGGGACGGCGAAGTGCTGAGGGCGTGCAGGAGAGCGTGGTACTCGGCATAGAGCCAGAGAGCGATGCCGAGATACAGATAGAGGACTACAACAGCATGAGCGGCCTCCAGCCAGCGTGACGGCCGCCAATCTGGATGGACAGTCTTTGGTGACAAAGCCTGGCTCGACGCCGACTTGACACGCCGCGCCGCAAGAGTTTGTACCAGTGCGCCGCCAATCTTCATCGCCACTTCGGCGTCAAAGTGAAGGCCGTCGGGGACATGGCTTGCAAGCTTCTTGCTCTCGGCACTCAGCAGAGTGTGGAGGTCAAGATAGAGCAGCCCGCTAGTGAGTGGATTGTACTCGCCGCTAGTGATGGTGCTGCGCGCCAAGGCGTTGAGCTTTTGGATGTGCTCGTCGCGAAAGATGGTTGAGACCACACGCGGACCCGAAAGTGCAGCATCCACCAGCGGGGTGTGTGAAAACCAGAGGCCCCATGACGGGCCCGTCTTGTCGTTGGCTGCCCACCGTGCTGCCACCGTGCGCAGCGTGACCAGCAACGCCTCAACACGATCGGCCAGCTCGCTGCGGCCGAGCTTTGGACGATAAAGGAGATCGTGCAGGCCGACGTTGCAGATGACCACATGCGGGGCATCCTCAGCCGGTGCTAGCGTCAGAGCCAGCAGCTCGCGTTCGATGTCCTCCAGATATGGCGCGTAGACGTACTCGAGCTTGGCGTTGAGCTCTGCCACGTCAAACGCGCGGTTCTTGTTGGGCTTGAGCCTCGGGACCGGCGTCTTTGCCCCAGCAGCAATAGCATGCATACCAAGAAAGACAAGCTGGCCAACCGAGTCACCCAGAAGAGTGATGCGCATGCCCTGAAAGGCATTCACCCTGGCGATCTCACCAGTGGGGCAGCCATCCGGAGAACCTTGCTCACCGTCCAGCACTGACTGCAAGCATCGAGTAGGCTCAACAGTCATGTCCGCACAAGCCACATCACCAACCGCCACCAGCCCCAGCAGTCCCAGCATCAGTAGCCATACCTGCACTCGCATCCTCTCTAGTGTACCCGTGCAATCAACTGGCTTGGTTTTTTCAGGGAGAGAGAGAGAGAGAGAGAGAGAGAGAGAGAGACAGAGAGGGGTGGGGGAGAAGGGGTGGGGGGGAGGGGGGAGAGGGCAAGCGAAAGGGGAACAGGGAAGAGGATGGATCTGCCATGTTCTGGCTCGCAATGCAAAGGAGAGGATAATCGATGTGTTTTTCATCATTCCTGGCTGGTCTGACTGGGGACTTGGCTGAGGCGTAGAATACCCGCACTCATTGCGATGCCACAGCTGCAGGTCTAAGCGTTGCAGTCGAGCAACAACAAACATATGGATACATACGCTACGCGGTGTGTGATAAAAAAATCTGTTGTTCTCCATCCCCCTTGAGCGTCGCAATCCCTCCCATCGCGCGTGGTGTGGTCAAGATGCAGGCAGTCGGACAGACAGACTCTTTAGGGGCTCGAGCTTCCATTCGGGCCTTCTCCTCCTGTCTCCTCCTCACCGACCGCTCCTGTCAGCACTTGTCGCAGGAAATAGCCACAGAAGCTCGATAGAGGCAGCAGAGAGGACATGGACGAGTACTCGTTGGATGCGTTTAATCCTCGAGAAGCGTCAAAGGCGGCGACAGGGGCTGGCAAGAGTGGAGGCGGTGGAGAGGGGCGGCGAGTGGGCCAGTGGCTGCCTCGTGCGGCCAAGGGTCGCGGGGATGCTGGCTATGTGGGCATTCTCAACCAGGGTGCCACATGCTACCTCAACTCATTGCTACAGATCATGTACCTCACGCCCGAACTCCGCGCTGCTCTCTTTGCTCTCGACCAGGAGGAGCTCGGCATGTCGTCGCAGGCTCTCGAGGTGGCCGACGACGGCTCGGTCGCCTGCGCTGCCATGTTCCAGTCTGACAACTCGGACGCTGGCGCTGCGCCGACCACCGGAAGAGGCTATGGCGTGAGCGATGTTGACGATGTTGGCGCCAGTGATGCTGCTGCCGACGAATCTGACGATGCCGACACTGCTGATGTCGACGCTCCCGACTCGCCCGCAGCTGATGTTGTCGTCGACGACGCCACTCTGGATCTGATGTCGGGTATGGGCTTTTCGATGGCGCAAATCCAGGCGGCGTGCCGGGCGTACCCGGATCCGGCCGACTCGGAGCAGCGGGTCAACTTTGTGCTCGAGGGCGGCGACCTGTCGCGGGCAGGCCGGCGGCGTGCGACCGACCGCTCCACCGGAAAGCCGCCGCGGTCGTTTGGTCCGTCGTACCGGCACGGCTCGCACAACCGCGAGCCGGTGGTCGCGTACTCGTCGCGGCCGGGCGCCGACTCTTCGGACTCGGACTCATCTGCTGGTGGCTTTGGCAACATGGGCGGTGCCGACGACGACCTGGACCTATTTGGATTTGGCGGCGACGGCGGTGACTCGTCGTCGGGCAACGATGACGGCGTCATGGATTTGTTTGGCGGCGTGTTTGGTGAAAATGATGATGGCGATGACAACCATACTGCCGATAGTGATGACGAGCCAGCCACGGTCCTGGCACCGGCACCGGCACCGGCACCAGCACCGGCCCCAGCTGAGGCTGAGGACAAGGCCAAGGCTAGGGCCGATGCTGTGCCCGATGCTCTGCTCGAGGTCGCGCCCGACGTCGAGGTTGAGGCTGACGCCGCGCCCGATGCCGCACCCAAAGTCGATGCCGAGCCCACAGTCGAGGTTGAGGCCGATGCTGCGCCCGATGCCGCACCCAAAGTCGATGCCGAGCTCGACGTCGAGGTTGAGGCCGACACCGCACCCGATGCTGCACCCAAAGTCGATGCCGAGGCCACAGTCGAGGTTGAGGCCGATGCTGCGCCCGATGCCGCACCCAAAGTCGATGCCGAGCCCGACGTCGAGGTTGAGGCCGACACCGCACCCAAAGTCGATGCCGAGCCCACAGTCGAGGTCGAGGCCGATGCTGCGCCCGACACCGCTCCCAAAGTCGATGCCGAGCCCACAGTCGAGGCCACAACCGATCCCGCACCCGAGCCTGAAACGCCGCAGCTCAAGGTTCTGCTTCAGCTTCAGGCTCTGTTTGCAGAGATGCACTCGCGCAACGTTGCCGCCATCTCAACCCGCTCGCTGACTCGCCGTGGCTTTCAGTGGCTCGACAACGAGTCATTGCAGCAGCACGACATCCAGGAGCTCAACCGCATCTTGTTTGACGCTGTCGAGCAGCAGCTGCGCAAGACGTCGGCGCCCAACACAGTCCGTGCCCTCTACGAGGGCACCCTCCTCAACCGGATCATTTGCATGGCATGTGAGACCGCGCGCGACCGGCCCGAGTCGTTCCTCGACCTCGTCATTCCAGTTGCAGGCTTTGACTCGCTGCCGGCTGCCCTCGACTCGGTCCTCGACTACGAGGTGCTTGAGGGAGACAACCAGGTCTCGTGCGCCGTCTGCGACTCGAAGCAGGATGCCCGCATGGGCGCAAAGATCGCTGAGCTGCCGCCGCTCCTTGTCTGCATGCTCTCGCGGTTCGAGTATGACTGGGCCGCCAACAAGCGAGTCAAAGTCAACTCGGCCTTCCCTTCCCGCTTGTCCTCGACATGGCGCCTTACACCGCAGACTATGTCGCGCCCGACGCCGGCAATCCTGATGCTCCGTACGAGCTGCTTCCGTCCGAGGGCGAGCTGTTTCAGCCGTCGGTCGACCCGGCCTCGCCTGCGCTCTTTGACCTAGTCGCCGTCGTCATCCACTCGGGTGGTGCCTACGGCGGCCACTATCATGCCTACGCTCACGATGTCGCTGCCGCCACCAACGTCGACCCGGCCTCGCTGCCGCAGTTTGAAGATCCGGCGCTCGAGCGCGCTCGTCTTGCGGGCGCGCCCAACCTTGCGGGCTGGTACGACTTCAACGACTCGCAAGTCACCCCGATCCCTGTCTCCACCCTCGCCTCGCAGTACGGGCAGGAGTCAGCTACCGAGTGTTCGTACATGCTAGTCTACCGCGCCCGCTCTTCGCTCGCCGCTGCGCGTGCCGCCGCCGCCGCCGCTTCCCCGCCGCCGCATCTTGCCGCGCTTATTGCCTCCAAGGATGCCCACTATGCCGCTGTCCGCTCCGAGTACGCCGAGATGGCCAACTACGCAGAGCTGGTGGTCCACTCGGCTGCAAACTACGTTCTTCACAACGGCGAGCTGACCGCCATCAAGCGGCGCGCCAACGTCATCGCGCCGACCCACGCCGTCCAGCGCATGGACATCGACCTCCGTCATACTCTGGCCTCGCTCCGCAACGACATCAAGGCCGCGTTTGGCTCCGCTGTTCCAGGCTCTCCCGAAGACATGCTCCTCCACTCGGTCTCGACCCGTATGGGCAAGCTCCTGCTCTCGCCAGTCACAACTCCACCAGAGACTCTTCTTCGTGACGCTGGCTTTGACGTTGACGGACTCGTTCTTCTCGCCTGGGACGGCACAACCGTTGACGGCCAGCTCTGGACCGGCGCCGAGGAGAAGATCGCACTTGACCTCATCTTTTACCCGAACGCCGCCAACTGCAACGACCACGTCACCATTCCGGTCCGCCTCCGTGAGGTCGACACGCTCGCCGAGGCCAAGGCTGCCATCGCTGCCCAGCTACCGGCTGGTCTCGAGCACTTGTCCGCGCTGCCGGATGTCACACCAGCTGCACTGGCCGCTGTTGCGGCAGCTGCCGCCTCTGGTGACTGGAGCCGACTCCTGCTCTCCCGGCTTGATGCCTCGGGGGTGGCCGCGCTCTCGGCAGAGCCGGAGACCCGAATCGCAGCGCTTGGTGTCTTTACACTCGGCTCCAAACTCACGCTTGAGCTCGCACCTGACGACGGTGCTTTTCTCGCACAAGCCCACTTTATCGAGCGCCAGTTCCAGCTCGACATCTGCGTCACTGACTCACTCACAGTCCAGTTTCCGCAGGCTGTGTTCAAGCTCGCGGTCAAGAAGACAATGACTGTGGGCGAGCTCAAGAAACTGGTGTTCGAGCAGCACGTCGATCACACGCGCCTACCTCCCACCGGCCCGTGGCGAACCTCGGCCGCCCTGCCGTGCATGCGGCTGGCGCGTACCTCTGGCTGGGGCCTCCACGGCAACCAGTTTGCCTCGGAGCGGCTCTCGCTTGCCGACGCTGGGGTGGTCAACGGCGAGAAACTGGTGCTGGAGGAGGGTGAGGCACCTGATCCTGACAAGGTCAACGTGCGCTTTGTCTACGGCTCGGCCGACGGTGACCGGCTCTCGGTCGAGCAGTCAGTCCGCTGTGCCAAGTCGCAGAGCCTCGCCGCGCTCAAGGCACTCATGGCTGCTCGTGTTGGCGCAGAGCCGGCCGCTGTCCGGCTGCGCGAGACCGATCTGTGGGACGGACCGGCCGGACTCTACGCCGACGAGAGCCTCGCCCTCGATGACGCCAACATCCACGCTGACGACCTTGTCTGGCTTGAGGACGGCAAGCCGCCGGTGCCAGGCGCCATGATTCTCAGAATTGAGCTGTACTCGCCACCTGGCGCCTGGTCCGTCGACGCCGCGCTTGCTCCCGCGTCTGCTGCCGAGGGTGATGAGTCTCCACCCATGCCTCCCGCTTCAGCCTCGGCCATCGATGCCATGATTGCGCGCAGCCGAGACGTCGAGACTGCTTCCGACTCGGCCCTCGCCGGGTCGGAAATGTCGTCGCCAGTCCTCCGCATCCTCCACGCTGACGAATCGCGCTTCCTGTCGTTTGGCGAACTTGAGGTCTCGGCCTTTGACTCGACGCGGCAGTTTCTGGAGAGCCTCGCGCCGCGGTTCTCACGCTGTGGGGGAAATCCAGCCGCGCTCCGCCTTTGGTCACCGAGCCATCCGCAGCGCTTGCTCACGGCGCCGCCATTTGGCACCGAGAGCGAGGCAGACCCACTTGATGTCACCCTCGGCGCACACCAGCTGCTGGACGGCCAGTCGCTCACTGTCGAGATTGTCGATCCCGCCTCCAATGCCCTCGCAGACACCGACCTCGTTCTATACTTGCACGTCCGCTCGCCGCTTCGGCGGATGTGGAGCAGCGTCCAGGAGTTTATCTTTCGGGCAGCCACGGCGCCGACACCCGAGAGCCTCGCCGCCGCGCTCAGCAAGGCGCTCGGTATCCCGCTTGACGCGCTCCTTGTCGCCAAGTACGATCTCGGCATGGCGCAGTGGCGGGTGGTGACCCGCGGGTCGGAGCGGGGAGCGCACGAGGCGTCAGCCGCCGCTGCTGCCGCCGCGGGCGACGACGATGATGGCATGGGCATGGCGGCATCGAACAAGCAGTCCAAGACGCTCAGCTCGGGGAGCTTGCGCGAAGCGCCGTACTTTATTGCGCACGGAGACGTTGTCGGAGTCAAGGACATGCGCGAGGACCCCGCCGACAACGACAACTTTGTGTCGAGCTCGTCGTCGACTGCTGACTTTCTCACCTCGTGGTCGGCCACGTCGGCCGCCGGCGGCACTGCGCCCAGCGGCTCGGGCGCAGAGGCACAGTTGCGAATCAACTATTGAAGAGCTACTGCACCTTGCATGGGCCGGCGGCACCGTCGTCAGCGAGTAGCGCCTCGTTCGACTCGATGAGCTCACGATGCGGCGCAACAGGCCCAAGCTCACCTTGTGAGCGCCGGCTAGCCCTCGTCTTGGCAAAGAACGGGTGCTGGAGCGCCTCATCGACAGTGATGCGCACGTTCGGATCTTCGGTGAGCATGCGGTCGAGCAGGTCGTGGATCTCTTTGCGCTTCGATGGCTTGACGTGACTCATCTTGGCCACCAGGTACTTGCGCTTCATGCGGCCGCGGTGGTCGAGTGGGACGTTGAAGACGAGCTCAAACATGAGAACACCAAGCGAGTAGACGTCGACTTGGGGGGTGTAGCCGCGCGAGCACCGCGCCCACTCGTCGGCAACCTCGGGTGCCATGTAGCCCTGCGATCCGGTAAAGGTCTTGGGCGGCGCGATGGGATCGTACCGGATGACGGTGTCAAAGTCGATGAGAATGGCGCGGTTGGAGACAGCGTCGAACAGGATGTTGTCCGGCTTGATGTCGCGATACATAAAGCCGAGCTTGTGAAAGTACTGCAGCGCCAGCAGGATGTCGTACGCAAAAGAGGCAAGCGCCTTGAGCGAGAGCCTGCCAAGAAAGTTGTACAGCGCCTTGGCCGATGCGTCTTCGATGTATGGATAGACAACTGCAAAGGTGCCTGTCTCTCGCAGCGGGTGCCACGCCAGCATAGGAATGATGTACGGCGACCGTGGCTCTGGCAGGGAGCTCAGTAGATGCACCACCTTGGGTGGCGTTGACGCCGAGTAGCGGTTGTCGTTGAAGATCTTGACCACAACGTGCGCGTCCGGATCCGACATTGGCGACGCACGGAAGACAACCGTGTCGTTGCCGGTAAAGAGCCGCTTGCGGAAAATGTACCGGTCTGCTAGACTCAGCATGTTGTCTTCCTGCTGTGTGGTAAAGCCGGGCATCCGCTTGAGTGCGGGCATCGACGGCAAAATCTTATCCGAGCCGGGCGACGAGTCTGCCGCGGACGAGTCAGACGACGAGTCGGACGACGACGACGACAACGATGACGACGACGAGCCGCTATCTGAGTCTGAGTCTGAGTCTGACTCGCCTTGGACTTTCACGGCCGGCGCGACGGCCGAGGCAGCGGCTGTCGGCGCGGGGGCCGAGGCAGCGGCAGCGTGGGCGTCGGCGACCTCGGTCTTGGACCGATGCCGGCGACGACGGCGGCGCGAGCGGCGCGAGTCGACGTACGCCTGCAGCGCAGCATGCTTGTCAGTCATGATAGCGAGCCGCTCTTGGAGGGCAGTGCGGTCGGCCACCAGCGCGTCCTTGTCGGCCTGGAGGCGGGCGAGATCGGCGTCGGCGGTCTCGAGCGAGACGTCTGCCGAGCGCGACATGCGCTTGCGACGGCGGCGACGCTGGGGCGCACCTGACCTTGTCAGCTCGTCCGAAAGTAGCGCAATTTGGCCCTGTAGCGCCTTGATGTGCTCATCGGCCTCTGCCAGAGCATCGTACTTTTCCTCCTGGTTGCGGCGGTGCGACTCGATGAGCGCATCGATGTCGTCTTCCAGCGAGAGAATGAGCGCGTCCCGAGAGGCCAGAGCAGCCTCGGCCTTGCGCAACCGTTCGAGCAGCGCATCGGAGGAAATCTCGCTCTGCGATGTGCCAGCACCTTCCTTGCTCGCACCGTCTTCATGCGGTACGACGACAACGCCATCGCCAGCAGGCGGCAGGTCACCGTCTGACGAAGAGAACGCAAACGAAGAGGCCGACAGCTCGTCAGACTCCATGCCATGGACCAGCAACGACGCCGCCATCCTCTCACACACCCTCGCTCTCTTTACCAAAGAGTGCGGTGTCTGTTGTCAGAGATTGAGCTTGCTCCGGCTCTGGCCCTGGCTACCGCGCAGCAGCCGCTCCCGCACCAGCTGGCACCGAATCCGACCAGACACACTCTCACGCTCGCTGGGATGGCGGGCTCTACCGATCAAGTACAGCCAGTTTCCTCCAATGCCTTTGGTAGGGGCACTGGCTGTCATCAAAGGTCTCGATCGGTCTCGCAAGGGGATGGGAGACGAATCGGAGGCGGCTCCGAGTGACTGGGCTGTCGTCGGGCGGGGGGACTTGTCTTGCTCGTCTTGGCTGGCAGCGGGGCTTCTGGCGATTGGCTCTGCTGTGCGAAAGGTGGAGACATGGCGCCGCTCAATCTCATCCCGCACAAGTCGTGGAATGTGTGGAGTGCCGCCAATCGGGCTCGGGTGGATGCGGATGAGGCGGCAGCGGCGGCAGCAGAGCGGGCGGCCGATGAGAGAGCAACACGGCTGCATGCGCACATGCATGCCGCGAGACGGGTTGATGGCCCGGCGGGCGGCGGCGGTGATGTAGGGCCGGTGACCGCCACGCTCTTTGTGCCCGAGCTGGCGCCGCCTGCGCCGCCTCGCCCGCCTCGCCCTCAAACCCTGGGCGACGAGCTAGTGCCGCCGGCGTTGCCGGCGGGCGGAGTGGGGGCCCCGGACCGACGGCGTGGAGCTCGCACGGCTGGCATCCATCGCGCCGCTGCAGCCAAGGCAAGAGGCGATCCGATGGCCCTTGTGGCTGCTCTTGCCCCGGATCTCGCTTCAAGTCTTGTGGCGAGACCTCCCCCGTCGCTTGCACGTTCACGGTCCCGGTCGCGGTTGCGATCACGGTCGCGATCGCGGTCGCCACGTAGAAAGCGGTCGCGGAAACAGCGGCGGCAGTCCCGGCATGGTCAGCGGTCGCGGCGACGGCGGCATGTGTCGCGGCGGAGCGGCAGGGACTGACATTGTGGGCTGTCACGGTTTACAGAGCGGCTTGCGCCGCGGGCGCGAGGGCATGTACAGCAGTGAGGGCGCGGCGGGCGAGGGCATCGTCGCGGTAGTGCCAGGCAAAGACAAACTTGGACGGGTTGTCAGGCGGGATGGAGATGACGAGCGAAGTCGAGGCCGAGACAAGGCGGTTCGGTGGGTCGTGCGTCATGTTGAGCTCTGAAGCGAGGGAGGGGAGGGCGGCGAGGTGTGCGGCGACGGCGGCGAGGTCGGCATCAGCGACATGGACGTCGACAGCGACGGTCATGCCGACTTCAACCATGCCCATTTCTTGCAGAGCCGACGAGGCCGAGAGCAGGCGGGCATCGCCGACCGCGCCGGACGAGTCGCGGTCGACGAGGAGGACGCCCGAGAGCGGGATGGCCGGCCGGTCCAGAAGCTTTGCGCGCTTTGTGGCGAGCGGGGCGGCAAGCGGAAGAGGGGCGGCGTCGTCGTCATTGTCGCCGTCGTTGTCGCCGTTGGCAGCAGCGTAGCTCGGCAGGCGCTTGCGCTTGGACGAGAGCGAGGCGGCGACGAGGTCAGACTCGAGGTCAATGACCAAGTGCGGCGTGGTGGTGAGGGTCAGGGTCTCGCCGTTGGGCGGATTGTAGGCCGGCAAGTTGAACGAGGAGCGGATCTTGTCCTTGAGAAAGTTCATCTTGCGGCGTTCGCCATGGACGAGGACCACCGACTCGGGCTGGCACTGCGAGATGAGCTGCAGGATGCCCTTGGCGTCAGCGTGGGCCGAGAACGAGAGCGCCGAGACTTGCATCTTGACGTCGATAACGGTCGACGCGTCGACCTCGAGCGCCTTGGTCTCGCCAGCAAGGAGCTTGGCGCCGACGGTGCCCTTGACGCAGTAGCCAGGAAGGATGACGAGGTTCTTGGGCGAGTGGGCCCACTTTTTGAAGACAGCCAGCGAGGTGCCGGCGTGGAGCATGCCTGGCGTGGCAAAGAGAACGCACGGGCCGGGCGAGTCTGCGTACGACCGGTCAAACTCGGAGATGTGGGCAAACTCGAACATGTTGCGGCGGACAAACGACTCCTTGATCTTCTGGTTGGTCCACGGAATAAAGAGCTTGTAGTACATGTTGGCCTTGGCGGTGAGGCCGGCCGAAAAGTAGATGGGGATGCCGCCGAGGCCCATGCGCTCCCAGTACGTGTCGAGGAGGATGCAAAGCTCCTGAGCGCGGCCGAGGGCAAAGACCGGGATGAGGACCTTGCCGCCGCGGGCGACGGCCTCGTGGACTTGCTGCAGAAAGTCGCCCTCACGCGCGCGCTTCGAGTCGCGGATGGTGGTAGCGTACGTCGACTCGGTGATGAGCACGGTCGGCTTGCAGAGGTCAACCCAGGCGGCGCCGAGGTGGCGGTCGGGCGTCATGTTGTAGTCGCCGGTGTAGAGGACCGAAGAGCCGCCGGCTGACGCGAGGAACATGGCGGCGCCGAGGACGTGCCCGGCGTAGTACGCCTTGAGCGAGAGGCTCTCGTCAACATGAACCGTTTCGTGCAGCGCAACTGGGATCACCTTTTTCATGCAGTTCTTGATGTCTGCCGAAGTGAAGAACTTGCGCATGCCGTGCCGCTCCACCATGATCTTGCGAAAGTCCTCGAGCAAGATGGGCGCCACGGCCTTGGTCGGCGTCGTCATGTAGATCGGACCGTCATATCCGCACATCTCGGTAAAGTACACCAGCCCGCCGCAGTGATCGAGGTGAAAGTGGGTGATGACCACAGCGTCGATGAGGCCCGTAAAGTCGACGGCGGTCTCGCGGGCACTGTCGTTGGCTCCGGCCTCGCCCGCTGCACCTACCCCGGCCCCACTTGCGCCAACCTCGCCGCTAGCGCCCATGGCGCTCTCTCCTGCCGCATGCGGGATGAGGAAGGAAAAGTCCGGGAAGCGGCGCGAGTCGTTGTACCCCATGTGCATACCGCAGTCGAACATGATGCGCTTGCCCGCGAGCGTCACCACCACGCACGACCGCCCCACGTCCTGCCCGGCGCCGAGCGGGAGGATCTCGATGTTGGCCATCGTATGCGTGTGTGGGAAGCTTGAGGTAGAGAGCGGTTGTGTGGGAGGCTGAAGTTGGGTGTGGTGGGGTTTGGCTGTGGTGTTGTGTTTGTTGAGTGTGTACCGTGTCGTGAGCGAGTGGCGTCCAGTGGCTCTTGCTCCCAGCCATCAATCAGCCATCTGGCTGATGGTCGAGCATCCCTTCTCCTCCTCCCCATCCCTCCCCCCCTCCCCCCCCTCCTCCCTGATCCAGACAGTGTTCAATGTCAATCTCAGCCGCACGCATGCAGAATGTCTTTGCAGGCTATTATGTCAAAGACCATCGTCACCCAACCCGTCTGTCTGATGAGGCTAAACATCCGGTCGGACATCTGAAGGCAGGAAGAATGGCTTTCCAACTTTCTCGGCTCGCCACCCGTCTCTCTCCCCTTTCCCTCCCGACCACACACACACACAGATGAAGGCACTTATTCTTGTTGGTGGCTTTGGTACTCGCCTGCGTCCGCTCACTCTCTCCGCGCCCAAGCCGGTGGTTCCTTTTGCTAACAAGGAAATCGTCCTGCACCAGATTGAGGCACTTGTTAAGGTACGTCCCCCCCCCCCTGTGTTGGCGTTATGTGGGGAGGTGTGGGTGCTGGTGGTCGGCGACGCGCTTTGGGCCTGCCGTCGATCCACGTCACAGGCAGAGTCCACAACGACCGTATGCGTATGGGGCGCACATAAAGAGTACTATGGGAGATAGGTTGCTAGAGGGCGAGCTACTTACATAGACTGTACGCGTGTACAGGCCGGTATCGATGAGGTTGTCCTCGCCGTCAACTACCAGCCCGAGAAGATGATGGAGGCTTTCCCGAGTGCAAGTGAAGAGGGGGAAAGGGGAGGGGAAAGGGGAGGGGATGGAGAAAGAGTGGAGAAAGAGGGGAGGGGAGGGGCGGGGAGGAGGGGGAGACAGACATGGGGGAATCGGGTGAAGGGGTTGGTGGAGAATGGCACGACTTGGGTGGCTTTGTCGGAAGGAGGAAGGGAGGGCGGCGGAGGCGTGGGCACGGGAGGTGGTGGTAGGTCAGTTTTGGAGTAGCCTGCCAAGCCAGCCCCCCCCCCCTTCTGGGGGGGGGGGAAGTCTGCCACGACTCACAGCAAGCCCGACATGGGTGGGCGGCAAACTACAGCTCGGCATTCGCATCTCGACCTCGCTGGAAGAGGAGCCGCTCGGTACGGCTGGCCCGCTCAAGCTGGCGGAGAGCATTCTGGGCTCGGACGGCGAGCCGTTTATTGTGCTCAACTCTGACGTGATCTGCACGTTCCCGTTCGAGGAGCTCATTGCCTTCCACAAGGCGCACGGGAAGGAGGGCACGATCATGGTGACCAAGGTGGAGGAGCCATCCAAGTATGGAGTCGTTGTGTCGGACGGCGATGGCAAGATCGAACGGTTCGTGGAGAAGCCGCAGGTCTACGTGGGCAACCGCATCAACGCCGGCATCTACATTTTCAACCCGGCCATTCTGGAGCGCATCCCGCTGGCGCCGACCTCGATCGAGAAGAAAATTTTCCCGGTCATGGCCGATGAGGGCCAGCTGTACTGCATGGACCTGCCGGCGTTCTGGATGGACATTGGCCAGCCGCCTGACTACCTCAAGGGCATGGTCATGTACCTCTCCGCGCTGGCCTCGGGTGACGTCTCGGGCGAGGGCCCGTCCGGCGCTACCTTCGTCGGCTCGCTGGTCGAGGGTGATAACTTTATCGGTCCTGTCTTTATGCACCCGGACGCCGTCGTCGACGAGACCGCCCTCGTCGGGCCGAACGTCGTCATCGGCCCGGGCTGCTCTATCGGTGCCGGCGCACGCGTCCAGCGCACCACTCTGCTCGCCGGCGCAAAGGTCAAGGCCCACGCCTGGGTCAAGTCCTCCATCATCGGCTGGAACTCCACCGTCGGCCGCTGGGCCCGCCTCCAGAACATCTCGGTCCTCGGCGAGGACGTCAAGATCACCGACGAGCTCTACATCAACGGCGCCCGCATCCTCCCGCACAAGACCATCAAGGACGACATCCCCACCCCGTCTATCGTTATGTAGTCCGTGTCTCCATCCCACTGGCCTTCCCCCTCGTCCCTGTCCTGTCCCAGCCGGGTCGGTCAATGAAGTACTCGCCCCCTTCCGTCCCCCCCCCCCACCCTTTGCTGCCGCTCCCCGCGAAAGCTCGCCTCGTTTCCGACCGTTCACACTCCGACCCGCCGCACAGCTCCGCTGGCTCCAGCTCCAGCCCCAACAACCGCACCTCTTCCCCACCCCACTCTCTTCATCTTCATCATGTACGCCTACACATCCACATCTTGCATCTGCCAGCCACAGCGTGCCCCACACGGTTTGCCTCGTGTTTATTTACACGGTATCCATGGAAGCAGCCATAGCGCCGCCTTCTGCGTGGGTTTTGCCCTCTGGCGACGGATGGCTTTTTCTTCTGTCGTCCTTCCCTGCCCGACGCAAGTGGGTATTACCCTCGTGTAGATCCGCTCCGAGCGCTTCTTCCGAGCTAGCAAGGCGGCGACAAGCACACACATGATGCTAGGTAGTGCATGCGCTCGTTGAGCAAGCACCCCCTGCCAGTGGGAGGTTCCGCGGCTCGGACGGTGCGGCCGTTGGACGTTGGCTTTTTTTTTGGGTCGGGCGCGGCACCAAAAGGTCGCGTCGTTCCTTTCTGCGCATGCACTCACCCGCTCCCCACTCGCTTGTGTCACAGGTCCAACCCCACCGCTGCTGCCGCCCCGGCCGACACCACCAACTTTACCACCTTTGGTAACCCGTCCGGCTACGGCTCGGCGTACAACGCCACCGGCCCGGTCGTCGGCTCGTTCGTCGCCGGCCCGTCTGGCCCGGCCAGCGTCAACGTCCAGGAGGCCGAGACCTTCCAGAACGTCGTCGTCCGCATCCCGCACGCCGAGATCGCGCAGGTCGTCCAGGGCCCGCCGACCATCAAGCGTCGCGTCATCCCCGGCCCGGTCATCCCGCGTGTCGTGCCCGATGTCATCCCCGGCCCGGTCCGCACCGTCAAGCAGTTTGTGCCCGGCCAGATCATCTACAAGGATGAGAAGGTTGAGGTTCCCGGCCCGGTCCGCGAGCGGATCGAGCGCGTCGAGGTTCCCGGCCCGGTCATTGAGCGCGTGGTGAAGGAGTACGTGCCCGGCCCGGTTGTGGAGAAGGAGGTCAAGGTCGAGATTCCCGGCCCTGTGACGTACAAGGACGTCAAGGTTGAGGTGCCCGGTCCGGTCATCCGTCGCCCGGTCCCGCAGCAGGTGCAGGTGCCTGGCCCGGTCCGTGTTGTCCAGCAGCGCGTCCCTGTCCCGCAGTACCACATCCGCGAGGTTGAGGTCGAGCGCAAGGTCGCCGTGCCCAAGCCGATGCAGACCAAGGCGCCGAGCATGACCCGCCATGTGTACGTCCGCAAGACGGATAACCTGCTCATGGCCGAGAACGCGCGCCTCCGCCAGGAGATCGCGTACCTCAACTCGCTGCCGTTTGCCACCACCGAGGAGGACAACATCATCGCCGAGCGCGTGCTCCCGATGCCCGGCTTTGGCGGCTTCGGTGCCCGCAGCAGCAGCAGGCTCAGTTCCAGTACCCCGGCGCCGCGCCGGCCCCGTACGGCTCGGCCTACCCCGGCTACGGCTTCTAAGCAGCGTCTTTGTTGAGCCTCCTCGGCCGTGATGACGACGATAAAACGTTTGACAAGCCTCCGCATACCCACCTTTGTTTTGCCCACCGTGCCTGCCTGTCAGCCGTGGCCACACACCTCTCGGGCGCCCATGCGACACTCACTCCCCACCCCATCCCGTCGCTGGCTCCACGCCGCACTCGGAGTAGCCGCTGCTGGCCTTGCGATCCGCGGCCTGGCTGCTGTGTGGGCGCGATGGAGGCGAGCCGGCCAGGCTCGTCCAGCAACTGCAGCAGCGTGTCCACCTGCCCTTGCCGGTGCTGCGGCTGAGATCGTCCTCCCGTCGTACAACATTGCCGACGACATGGCATTCTTCACTGAAACGCTCGGCATGGTCCTGGTGCGAGTGTACCCGGCCGACGACCCGGCAACAGCCGTGGTGGCCGGCCACGGCGTGACTGTCCGCCTCCAGCGCGGCGCTGACGGCATGGCTGGCACCATGGTCCTTCGTGTCGCTGATCCAGACGCGGTGGCCGACGGCGAGCGAGCCATCTTGGCACCGAACGGATGCCGCATCAGGCTTGAGCATGCTGCGCCGCCGCTTGTTGTCCCACCCGTCCTCCCCGAGCTGGTGGTGACTCGCGCCGGTGCCACTGATGCGTGGGGAGTCGGCCGCGCTGGCATGGCCTATCGCGATCTCATCCCGTCACGGCTTGGTGGCGCGGTCATCGCCTCGCACATCCGCATTCCCGGCGGAGGCGAGGTTCCCGACTCGGTCCACTTTCACGACGTCTCGTTCCAGCTCATCTACTGCTACCGCGGCTGGGTCGAGGTCGTCTACGAGGACCAGGGCCCGCCGTTCCGGCTAACCGCAGGAGCGTGTGTCATCCAGCCGCCACTCATCCGCCACCGCGTCCTCCGCGCATCATCTGATCTCGAGGTCATCGAGCTCGGCGTGCCCGCAGAGCACATGACGACCATCGACCACGATCTTACGCTCCCCACCTCTGCGCATCTCCCGAAGCGGCGGTTCTCGGGCCAGGCGTTTGTCCATTTCACGCCGTCACAGGCAGTCTGGGCTCCCGCGCGCATCCCGGGCCTGGCAGCCTGCGACACCGGCGTCGCTGCCGCCACACTCGGCAAGGCTTCTGTCTCGATCGTCGCCCACCCTGCCGTCGGCGATCGCGTCACGTCGACTCCACGCCTCCACCACTCTGCCGACATTCTCTTCACCTTTGTTCTCGATGGCTCGCTCACTCTTTCCACACCCTCACGGACAGACTCTCTCGCTGCGGGCGATGCCTTTCTTGTTCCCGCCGGCATGCCGTCCTCTCTCTGCGATCTCTCTGACGATCTGCAACTCCTCGAGGTTGCTCTCCCCGGCGTCTTTGACTCGGAGGCCGTCGTCTAGCCCCCCTACCCCCCTGCCGTTGGAAATACCCTTGCCCTTTGATCCCGATAATGTCCAGTCACACCTGCCAGCACCTTCCATCGCCAGTCCTCGTCAATCGCTGCATGTGCCAGCCCGTCACCGCCCTCCACCACAAGCGCCTGTTGCCGACCCCCCCCCCTCCTTCCTCTCCGCACTCACAGAACCGCCCTTCCTCTCACTTGCCCAGCTGCTGGACCTTGACATTCCAAAGTCTGCCATCAAGTTCTCCACACTCACCATGCATGCAGGTGAGTCTGTGGCTGTGGCAGGGCCAGAGAGGCTGTACATGGTGTCGGACCTGGCTGCATCGCCGCCGACGCTACGTACTTGGGCTTCGGCTGTCGACGGCGCTGTTCACAACGCTGTCTCCCATCGCATGGCTCTGCGAAAGGGTGCTACCCTCCAGGTCTTTGATATGGAGCAGAGAGCAAAGCTGGCGTCGAGCAATCTGCCCGATGTCGGCGCTTCGGGCATCTTTGCCCGCTGGCTCTCACCGGATGTGCTGGGCGTTGTGGCTGCAGGTACGCTGTTGCTGTGGGACGTCTCGCAGCCGGGCTCCGAGCCGGTGGTCGAGACCGAGCTCGACCCACTGCTGGGTGGCTCGGTCCAGATCACCGCGCTCAAAGCTTCGCCTGACCTCGAGTACATCTGCATCGGCGGTCTCGCTGTCGTCGACGGCCACATCAACGGCGTGGCCCAATTCTACACGCGCTCCACGAGAGTCTCGGTCCCGCTCCAGGCGCACGCCTTTGAGTTCTCAACCCACCCTGAGGCACCCGACACGCCCGTCCTCATTGTGGCTGACCGCCCGCAGGGCCAGGCCGCCGGCTCGCTCTCCATCCTCCCACTCCCGCTCGGCGACTCGGTTGCGCTCGGCGCCTCGGGCAAGATGTTCTTCTTTTCCGAGTCCGACAACGACTTTCCGGTCGCCGTCTGCGCCTCGCCTGCCCGCCGCATAGTGTACACGGTCTCCAAGTTTGGCTTTATTTTCATCAACGAGCTGGCCTCGGCCGCAACAGTGTACACCAACCGCATCTCCGACTCGACCATCTTTGTCTCGGGCATCAACCTCGACGGCGCCTTTGTCGGTGTCAACGTCGCCGGCCAAGTCCTGTGCGTTGACCTCAACTTTGACGCCCTCGAGCAGTATGTGGCGTCGGTGCTGAACAATCCGAGCCTGCTCTCGGTCTTCTCGCCGCTCGTTGCCGCGCACCGCGCCTCGCTGGCGGCTGATGCTACCGACGCACTCACTGCTGAACCCGCGGAGCCGTGCGACGAACTCGAAACCACAGCCGAGACAACAATGGCAACCATGCTTGCTGCTGGGCTCGGCCTCGAACCTGCCGCAAATGCCCAGGGCATGAGTGTGCTCGAGAGCGACACCAGCGCGCCGGCCATCACCAGCCTCGACCAGTTCCGCAGTGCCGTGTGCGCCGTCGTCGCCGGCGCGCTCGACGAGCCCGAGGCCGAGTGGACAGCAGCGATCAAAGTTCTGGCGACGGTCGGCTCGTCGATTGCCGGCGCCGGAGCGTGGGTGACGGCTGCAGGCACGGTTGTGCTCTCGGTGCGCGAGGCGGACGAGAGGTGGACGGGAGCTTTTGCGGCTGCGGCGGCCGAGGCTGCGGCCGGCGAGGTGGACGGTAGCGCTGTGGTGGCGGCTGCTCGCGAGCTGCTCGCGCTTGTTTAGTGTGCAGCAAGAGCAAGCGAAGGGCGGATGAGCTTGCGGCCGGCTGTGCCGAGCTCCTTTGCGGCTGCGTCGTAGTTGTAGTGGACCTTCATGGCGCCCGAGCCGATGGAGACCGGCACACCCATGATGATGCATTCGGAGACGCCGTTGATGGCGTCGACACGGTGGCGGACGGCGGCGTCGAACAGGATGTCCATGGTCTTCTCAAACGAGGCGAGCATGAGGGTCGAGTTCTTCATCTTGCCGATGCCGAAGCGGGTGATGCCGAGGATCTCGCCGCGGAACGACATGAGGTCGGCAAGGAGCATGAGGTGGCGCTGGTCGACAGACATGCCATGAGACGACATGGTAAAGTCGATCTCATTCATGATGGTCTGGCGGGCGGCCTCGATTCCGAGCGTCCGCTCAACCTCGATGATGTGGTTCGAGGTGGTCGAGTACGCATCGATGCCCTTGATGCCCATGACGGCCTGGAGGTCAATGCCGTCGACCATGAGCATGTGCTTGCCGGCGTCCTTGGAGATGATGGCACGGTCGACCGAGGGAATGCCGCACACCACGATGCCACTCAGCTTGTTCTTGAGCGTCTGGACGGCGGCCGAGAGCGACTCCTTCTCGCGCTGGGCTGGCGTGATGCGAATCGACGTCCTGTCGACGGCCAGGCTGTCGGGCGTGAGCTTGAGCTTGGAGACAGCGAGGATGGCGGCAGCGACCGACTCGACCGAGACGTCGAGCTGGAGCCTGCGGATGCGGTCGTCGTCGAGGCGGATGAGCATGTAAACCTGCGAGCGGGCGTAGACCGCGGTGATTTCCGAGGCGATTTCGCCGAGAGTCGTCTTTTCGACGCGGCCCTTGACAATCCGCGCTGCCCGCTCCTCGTCCGGGTTGAGCAGTGGCGCCTTGATGATGGGCGTTGAGATGTTCTTGGACGCATTGATGATCTCACGGATGCGCGGGACGCCGAGGGTGATGTTCATCGACGCCACGCCGGCAAAGTGGAAGGTCTTGAGCGTCATTTGGGTTCCGGGCTCACCGATCGACTGTGCGCCGAGCGCGCCCACAGCCGAGCCGGGCTCGATCTCGGCGCGCCGGTACTTGAAAAAGGCGGTGGTGAGGAAGGCATCGAGCTGCGACGGCATGACCGAGGCGGCCTCGCCGACGGCGTGCTCGACGCCGGCAAGAGCCGAGCCCGGCTCTGCGGCGGTGTGCGGGTCGAGGCCGAACCGGGCCCGCGTCTCGGCAAGTTCGTCAACCTTTTCGATCATAAAGGCGCGCAAATCCTCGAGGAACTTTTCCGAGACGAGCTCGGCCCGCGGGACGCTGCCGCCGGCGCCGAGGCGGGTCATGTCCGGCGCGGCGAAAAAGGCGGAGAGTCGGTCGAGCATCTGGCGCGGAAGGAGCCAGGCCTCGGCTGCCGCGCGTGAGCGGACGGCAGCCTCGACGCGAGCCGACGAAAAGGTCCGCTCAAAGTTGACCGGCTTGGAGTCGCCCTCCATTAGCGACGGATCGAGGCAGTCGTCGCCGTAGCGGAACTGGATGACCGAGCCGACCGAGTTGCGGACGGTGCCGTCGTACTGGACCGAGAGGTCCTCGAGCGCCTTCATGAGGCGGCGCTGCATGTACCCAGTGTCTGCGGTCTTGACGGCGGTATCGACGAGGCCTTCGCGGCCACCCATGGTGTGGAAGAAGAACTCGGTCGGGTTGAGGCCCGAGTAGAACGAGTTGGCACAAAAGCCCTTGGCGGCCGGGATCCGCGAGTTCTTCTCAAACATAGGCAGGGTGCGGTAGAGGAACCCGTTGGGGATGCGCGAGCCGGAGACGGTCTGCTGGCCGACGCAGGCCACCATCTGCGAGATGTTGATGTTGGAGCCCTTGGATCCACACATGGTCATGATGAGCGGAGCGTTGGTCGGCTTGAGCTCGGCGAGGCAAATGTCACCGCATTCGCCACGGACGTCCGACAGGACCTTAGTGATCTTGTTCTCGAGCGTCTGCTCGGCCGAGCAGCCGGCCTGGAGCACGAGCTCGCCGCGGCCAAACTGGGCGATGAGCTCGTCGACAGCGGCGTACGCGTCTGCGATCTTGGCCGCCTTGCGCTTGACGAGCGACGCCGAGGGCGTGACGTCCGAGATGCCGATGGAGAAGCCGTACGATGCCAGCCAGCGGGCTGAGAACTTGGCGAGGCGCTGCATGGCGCGCGCGGCCTGCGCCGGCGAGTTGTCGCGCTCGATGACGTAGAAGAGCGAGGCCTTGGAGCCCGAGCCCACAATGGCCTTGTCCACCACCCCCGCGAGCAGCTGCGAGTTGTAGAAGAGCGTCCACCCGTCCGACGGGCACATTTCGGCGCCGGCCTTGGAGTACGACTTGTTCTTGGTCGAGAGATTGACTGTGACTTCGCGGTTCGGGTCGCCGGTGCCCGAGTAGTTGGCCGCAGGGTTGAGGAGGACCGAGAAGACCTGCTTGCCAGTCCACAGCTCGACCGGCTTGAGAATGGCCGGCGGCGGGAGGACAATGCGCTCGGCAGCATCGGCAAAGTAGGTGCACGCCTGGCAGAACTGCGCCTTGTCGAGGAACATGTCTTTGTGCGTCACCAGGTAAGTGCAGGTGATAAAGTCCTGGATGGCGGCAATGAGCGGCTCGCCCGACCGTGGCGTCACCAGATTGTTCTCTACGCCCATGAGCACCGAGGCCTCGGCCCGCGACTCCTCGGTCTGCGGGACGTGGAGGTTCATCTCGTCGCCGTCAAAGTCGGCGTTGTACGGCGAGCAGACACAGACGTTGAACCGGAACGTGCGCCACGGCATGACCCGGACGCGGTGCGACATGATCGAGACCTTGTGGAGTGACGGCTGCCGGTTGAACAGCACCACGTCGCCATTACGGACGTGCCGCTCGACCACGTCGCCGTCGCGGAGCGAGAGTGCCACCTTGTGCCGGTTGGTGTACTTGAGGTACTTTTTCGCGCCCGACCGCTCCACGATAAAGTTGGCACCGTTGAAGCCGTCCGGCCCGGCCCGGACCGCCTCCTGCAACTGGGCCCGGTTCGCCGCGCACACCGTCTGTGGGTAGGTGAGCACCTTGGCAAGGAGCGCAGGCATGACCACTTCGTTGATCGACATGTTGGGGTCTGGCGAAATGACAGTCCGCGACGAAAAGTCGACTCGCTTGCCCGACAGGTTGCCGCGGAACCGCCCGGTCTTGCCCTTCATCCGCTGGCAGAGTCCGGTGTACTTGCGCGACTTCATCGACTGTCGGACAGACGCCGGCACCCCCGGCAGCTCCGAGTTGATGTAAGACGCCACCTGAAGCTGCATAAAGTCCCACAGGCCCTGCACGTTGCTCACCGACGAGCCCTTGGACAGGGAGTCCTTGATGATGGTGTTGATGTGCACAATGTCGCCGATCTTGATCGTCAGATCGTCCTCGTTCGAGCCTGACGTCATCGCTGCAGTCACTGACGGCCGGATGCAGACCGGCGGGACAAGGAGCTTGGTGAGAATCATCTCCTCCGGTCGCCCCACCAGCGGCCGCATGCTCAGCATCTCGCAGTCCTCCGTCGACAGCCGCTGCAGGAGCGAGAGCGCCACAGCAGGCGTGATCGTGTCCTGTACCTTGGACAGCAGTGGCTCGAGCTCCTTGTTAGCTGCGAGCGCAGCCTCCAGCGAGGCGTAGAGCTCCTCCGTCCCGTCGTCGCGCTTGGACCGGAACCGCTCGTGCACAATCTTGAGCGCGCCGGCCTTCTTGACCGAGCCCACCACCGCGTCGCAGTGCGCGCACCGCGTCATCCGTTTGCACTTTTCGATGACCAGCTTTTGCAGCTGCCGCTGCTGCAGCGGCTTGCCCTCGTACGCCCGCATCCGCGCCAGATACTGCGCAGCCTCGGCCTCGTAGATCAGCGTCCGCGCGCACACCTTGCAAATGCACTGCAGCAGCGTCATCACCGTCTTAAAGTACCCGATATGAAAGACAGGCAGCTCCAAATCTACCACTCCAAAGTGGCCCACGCAGTCGGCGAGCTTCCGCCCGCACGTCTCGCACAGCGTGACCTTGGACGATGCTCCCAGCCGGAGGTCGAGCGGTCCAAAGGGTTGTGGCACACGCGACGGCTGTTGGTACAGCTCACGGTTGACCACCTGGAGGTGCGCCACTCTCTGCATCTCGTGCGGCTTAAGCATCCCAAACTGAAGGTGTGACCTATGGGGGATGTGAGGGTGAGTGTAAAGGGGGGGGGAGGAGGGGAGGGGGGGAGACGGGCAGCTCCATCACACTCGCGTCACCACATACACCTTCATGGGCTTGTCCGACTCGCGAAGCTGGCGCTTTGCGCCCTTTGTTGGGTCGAGTGGCCACACATTGCACAGCTCGTGCCACTGCGAGGACATGGCGTGTGGAGCGTGGAGGGTGAGGTGTCCAGACGGGTCGGTAGCTGTGGCCAAGGGAGGGGGGGGAGACCATCGGGTCGAAGCCATTCGATGCTATGATGCGGGAGAGGAGGGAGGGGCCATAGTCAGGCCAGGGTAATGCTGGGCCATACTATTTCCACCATCTGTACATCCATCCACCATCAGATGGTGATGATTTTATTATCGGACTCTTCTAGCGGTGGGCGTAGGCCATATGCCCAGGTATCTTCATGTTGGTTGTTGATGGGGGTGGGCGGGTGAAGGGGAGGGGGAGGGGAGGGGGATAAGGGGGGGGGGGGGCTGGCCTCAGCAGAGGAATCACCGACCAACAACTGGGCGGAGCCCCACCCTCGGCGCCGCCCACTCACTCCCACTCTGCCCCTCCTCTCCTCCCAACGCGGCGGACACACGACTCGGTGCGACCGGAGACCGTGGGGAGCAATGGCGGCAGTGAGTACGTATACAAACATAGGCAGCGGTGGAGGAGGAGTTTGTGTGTGCCTGAGAGAGAAGGGGAGGGGGGCGAGAGCGAGAGAGGGAGAGGCAGGGGAGGGGGGCGCGGGCGCTGTGCCTCTCCCCTTCCTCCGTGTGCGATCACTCCCCCTGTGTGGGGAGGGGGGGAGGGGGGGAGGAGACATGGCGGTGGGCAAAAAAATGGAGGGGTGTGGGTATGGGCATGGGTGGTGTGGAGCGACACAGAGGGGAAGGAGAGGAAGGAGGTGATGGTGGATAGACAAGGCTTGGTTGAGGGTGGGAGGGAATGTAGCGGTTGCTGCTTTGGCTTTGTTGGCAAAGGGGTGGGGAGGGGCACGTGACACGCCGCCAGGCGTGATGGAAGCCGACGGCATGAAGCCCCCCCCCCCCCCCCCCCCTTCCTCCCTGTGAACTCCCTGAACGACTATGGTTACCGCACTGAGAGGAGATGACTCACAGAATGGATGTGGGAGGGCATAGAGCGGTTGTTCCAGTCGTTTGTGTCGTGGATCAAGAACTTGTTCTGGAAGCAGGAGATGGAGCTCACGCTGGTGGGCCTCAACAACTCGGGCAAGACTACGCTGGTCAACGTCATCTCCTCGGGTGAGTTCAGAGAGGACATGATTCCGACGGTAGGGTTCAACATGCGCAAGGTGCAAAAGGGCAACGTGACCATCAAGCTGTGGGACATCGGAGGCCAGTCGCGCTTCCGCTCCATGTGGGAGCGCTACTGCCGCGGCGTCTCGGCCATTGTGTATGTGGTGGACGCGGCTGACCACGCAGTCATCGAACAGTCCCGTGAGGAGCTGCATGCCTTGCTGTCCAAGGTCCAGCTCTCTGGCATCCCGCTCCTGGTCCTCGGCAACAAGAACGACCTGCCCGAGGCCCTCTCCTCCGAGGACCTCATCGAGGCTCTCGACCTCCAGTCCATCACAAATCGCGAGGTCTGCTGCTTCTCCATCTCCGCCAAGGATGGAGTCAACATCGACATCACCCTCGAGTGGCTGGTCAAGCACTCGAAGAAGTCGTAAGGCCACTATCACCCTCCCTCCCTCCCTCCCTCCCTCCCTAAAGCCCTTGAGGTTGCCAACCCGACCGCGCCACCCCACCACACTCCGAGCCACCTCACCTCACCTCCCCCCTTCCCTCTAATGCGTGCAGCCGTCCTTCTGGCAGCTAGCCTGCTCCTGGCCGCAGCAATAGGCTGTACCCTGAGCACCCTCCCGGGATGGGGACCCAACCTATGCACCATGTCGTACATGTACCCGTGGTACGCCCCGGTCGAGCTCGCAACGTCGTCGGCCGGCTACGGACTCGTCCGGTACCGCGAGGCTGGCCAGCCTCCGCCCGAGCCGCTCCCGCACCACCCGCGCTCTGCTGTCCTCTTCTTGCCCGGAAATGCAGGCTCAGCCTCGCAGGTCCGATCGCTCGGCGCGGCCGCGGCGGCCATAAGCTCTCCGCTCGCCTGGTTCGCCCTCGACGTCGACGAGGAGAAGTCGGCGCTGCAAGGTCAGCGCCTGTTAGCCCAAGCCTCGGCTGCTATCGATGCGCTGCGCGAGCTCTCTGCCGCAGAGGGCTACTCCCGCTGGATTCTGATCGGTCACTCGATGGGCGGCATCACCGCCCGTCTCGTTCCGCAGCTTCTAGCCTCGGCGGCAAACGAGGACACCGCCGCCCTCGGCGCGTCGATCGCCGCCGTCGTCACACTCGCCACGCCACACGCTGCGCCTGTCGTCACTGCAGACGGCACCATCGAGTCAATCTATGCTCTCCTCGCCCATCCGCGCGACACTGCTGTTCCGGTCGTCTCGATCTCGGGCGGTCCGCGCGACGAGCTCATCCCTGCCCACCTCACGCATCTCGCCCTCCCTCGTGGACACCTCTCCCTGCCCTGGCTGCATGTTCCCTCTCTGGCGCTGCCTGGATCATGGCGCTCAGCCGACCATCTATGCATTCTCTGGTGCCGTGAGCTCGTCACCGCTGTTGCTGGCTACGTTGACAACGTCGCGAGGTCGGGGAACGGCTGGGCGGACGCTCTTGCCGCCTTTGCGCCGCATCGCGCTTTGCCGCTGCCTCGCCCTGGCGGCGAGAGCGAGCGCGAGGACTCGGCTCAGCCTGTCAAGCTGGATCGTGCTGGCCGAGCTCGCCTCCAGCCGCATGTTAGGTACTCGTTGCCTACCTCCGATGCATGTGTCGGCTTCATTGTCACTGCCAGAGCGCCGGCTGCGTGGTGGGCACTGGATGTGTCGGGCGAAACCCGTGCTCCTCAGCCGCTTCCACCGGCCCAGGCTACAACGCCAGCGAGTGACGATCCGCGTTCGGCGGTGCTTGTCGCGGGTGCGGCTCGCGCGGCAACCGCGATGTGGTGGCCGGGCCAAGGCCGAGGCACCCCGAGCGAGGCCGTGCTCCTCTGCTTGCCCCCAACGCCAGCGCCGGGCATGCCGGTGCTCCAAACTCTGACCTCGCCTTGGCCTGCGCTTCTGCCGGTCACCGAGCTGAGTTGGACCTTGGAACGGAGCCCAGGATGGCGTGGATGGGTGGCAACGACGCCGGTTGACGCAGCTGGTGCCGGTGTCGGCGCTCCAGCCTGGTTTGCACAGTTTGCGCAGGGCGTGCCGGATGGACTCGCCGGCGAGCAGCTGACGGTGTTTGGCGACGAGTGGGCACTTGATGCCCCGCTGGACGCCTTGCACGTTCTCTGGTTTCCTGAGTGCCCTGGATCCGCGGCAGCATGTGGCACACCGCCGCCGCACCCGCGTCTCTCTCTTCACGGAGTGATCCGTAAGTGGGTGGCACGTCACGCACCGGCGCTCCTTCCACTGGCATCGGTGGCGGCACTGGCGTGTGCGGGTGGCCTGAGTGGTGCAACCACGACAGTCCTGGTGGCACTCGCGAGTGTGCGTGGCTCGTGGGCTCTCGCGCCGTCGCCGTGGCATACGCTCACGCTCACGCTGGGCGCGGCCTGTCTCGCTCTCGGGGTCAACGTCGTCGCTCGGATTGTCCTCGCTGCCGCCGGCTTGCTCCCAATCTGGCTTCGCTGCGGGTGCGAGTCGCGGCTGGCAGCCCGGGCGCTCCTGGCGGTAGCCGCAGTCGTCGGGTGGCTCGCAGAATGGTGCTTTGTTCCGGGTCTCGCGCTTCTTGTCCTCACACTGCGGCTCGGCGGGAGCGGGAGTGGGAGCGCATGGCGATGGAGCGCGTCGCTACTGGGCGCACTTCCGTCGCTTGCCAACGCGTACGTCGCCATCGAGTCGCGCAAGGGCAGCAGCGGCCCGCTGGCGTCTGTGGGTGAGCCGGGCGGTGCAGCACTCTCGGCGCTGCTCGCAGTCGTGGTCCAGCCGGGACTGCAGACGCCGGCCGATCCGCAGGCAGCGCGGATGGCCGTGGCGGGAACGACTGCTTTGCTTGCGGTTTTGGCGCTTGGCTATCCAGCGGCATACTACATGCACGCGGCGCTGGGTGCAGCGAGTGGGCTGGTGCCGGCAGCGGTGGCCGCGACATTGCGCGCGCAGACGCGTGCGCACAAGACGCAATAGTTTGACCAAAGTACTCATGACGGCGCCGGAGCAGTGGCGAGAAGATCAGATAGATCGACGCCATGCCGCGAAGCGCCGAGCGAGTTCCAGATGATGTAGTCGGACGAGACGAGCTCGTGGTCAACGTTGAGCTTGGTCCGGGTCTTCGGGTAGACCGAGACGGCGTCGCGGGCAATGTGAACGCCTGACAGCGTCGTGTTGGTCATCTTAAAGTCGAGCGCAATGTAGGCATTGGAGGCGACACAGAACGGGTCGTCGGATGGCGCAGCGAGGTGGGCGACGGCGGTACGTGCGGCGTCGGCGGCGGCGGCATCAGCGGCCAGCGACGCCAGCGCCACAGCCGACCCGGCGTTGAGCTCATCGAGAGCAAGCGAGGTCGGGGTCGGCTGCGGCGGCTGCGGTGCGAGCGCAGCGGCATCGACATCAAGCAGGCGAGGGCTGCCGTGAAACGTGATTGTGCCCGGAAGCTCGACTTCGGCGTTGCCGACCGACCATCGTTCGGTGAGGATCCAGACAAGCGCCCGCCGGTCTGCGGTGACGTTGACAATACCAGCGGAAGGGCGCAGATCGACGTGGGTAATCTGACCGTGGTTGTGAAACGGGATGCGGACTTGGCAATAGCCGACGTCAGCCTTGACGCACAGCTTGAGCTGGATTAGCAGGTGGATGGTCTGCGGGCCGAGCGGCGACTGCTGGTAAAAGCCGCGGATCGGGAGCGAGCCCGGGACCGAGACTGGAACCGAGTACTGCGCCACTGCCAGCGTCTCCAGCGGCGGAATGAGCGAGAGCTTACCGGTGGTGGGCTCAAAGACCGAGACCGCCGGATCGAGGGCAAGGGACTCGACCTGCGCCAACGTCGGCGCCATGACAGTCACCTCGGGCACACCCTCGAGCAACGCCTTGACCTGAAGCGAACCCTGGACAACGCAAACGTCCGCCAGGTGCGGCACGTCGTACTGGACGGCGCGGACCGACTCGGAGACACGAATGTCGACAACTTGCCGCGAACGCGACTTGGCTAGGAACGGCTTGGACGCCGGAATCTTGGCCACCGCCGCAGGGCCCTGGACCGACGCAATCAAGTCGCGCGGCTTGTGGGCCATGTACTTGCGGATGGCAGGAAGGTCGAGCGTGAGGACCGTGCCGAGCGGGAGCGCAAAGGCCACAAAGACGTCGATGACGCCCATGTGGGCCAGATCGTAGCCGGGCGCGTAGCCGGCAAGCAGCTCGGCGAGCGTGGCAGCGAGGCCATGGCCGACCGTCACACTTGGCTCGTCCACCAGGCGGCCAGCATGCTGCGCGCCGGGCTTGACGCTCGGCGCCACTACCACCACCAGTGGGCCGGTCCGATGGAGGCAGAGCGGCCAGAGGCCGGCGGCCGAGGCAGCCACCGCGGCGTCGGACGCCCCGTCGTCGCCACCGAGCGCGGGTGTACTCGGCAGGATCTCCCCCACCACTGCCTCGAGTACAGCCGAGCTTGTCGGCAATGGGGCTGGTACTGCGAGCTTGGCGCTCTCGGTAGCCACGGCCGTCCGCCGCAGTCCTGCTTCGACCACCGGAAACGTCCGCGCTGCCACCACACCAGGCTCATCGACCCTCAGCACCCACAGGGCACGCATGCCCTGGCCAAGCCTCACCGGTGTCCTCTGCGCCTCGCTCTGTCCCACTTTCGCGGCCATGGGCTTGTGTGTGCAGCACGGGATGGGTGTGGCGCGGGGGGTGGGGGTGTGTCGAGAGTGTAGTCACGCGCGTCGAACGCCAGTTGTGGGGAGGACAGCTGCTGGTGAGCGACGGATGGGCATCCGCGGGAGACTGTAATGTACAAGAGCTAGGAAGGCGATCATGCCGAGTCAGATGAGGCATCGGACGACGAGTCCGAGCCTGAGCTCGAGTTCGAGCCCGAGCCCGAGCCGGACGACGAATAGTACGACGACGATGACGACGAGGACGGGAGCTCGACTGAGGCCGAGGGGGGGGTCGGCTTGGACGAGGCAGCCTTGGTTGGGGCGTTCGAGCAAGAGGGAGAGGTCCCAGCCGTCGATGACGAAGCGGCGGCGGTCTCCGCAGTGGACTCGAGTGTGTCTGCGGAGCCGTAGCGGTTGTTGGCGAGGGCGGTCTCGTCGGCGGAGATGCCAAACTGGGCAGCCATGGTAGATAATGAGCGCAGATGGCGGGTAAGCGTGCCGCGCATGAGGTACTGCGAGAGCAGGTCGTCGTAGACCAACTGCTCGCGCTCGATGAGCGGGCGGCGGTCTGCGGCACGCCACGACTCTTGCACGGCCTCGTTGGCCTTTTGTAGGTCGCGGGCAGCCTTGAGGGCAAGCATGTCTTCCAGCCAGCCATTGCGATCCTCGGCGCTGGAAGCCGCGAGGACGTAGAGCTTGTTGCCGATGTGGCGGACGCAAAACGCGTTCTTGGTCTTGCCGGTGTCGTCAAAGGTCGAGACCTCGACGGCCGAGAGCGGGAAGGCCTGGCGGACGACATACTTGGAGCGCGAGAGCTTCCGGCGCTTGGCCCAGACTAGATAGTCATTGAAGAGGACAAAGTGGCGCGTCTGCAGCTTGCCGCCCTTCATGTGCTTGACAAGGTCGCCCTTGCGAAGGACCCGGCGCGACTTGGACGGCGTCAGCAGCGTCTCCAGACCCTCGAGCTGCGAGAGCACCTCCTGGACCTCCTTGCGCTCCTTGGAGATGATGGCGACCCGGTGCAGCTGCTCCTCGATGGCCGCCACCTGCTCCTGCAGGCGAAAGAGCTGCGGGCCGGATGGGAGGCCGCGGTTCGAGGTCGCTAGCGCGTCGACAAACTGCACGTACTGATTGAACCGCACCACTGGCGCTGAGAGCAAGACAGAGAGGGTCCGCTCGTCGGCCTGCGGACCATCGCCGACGCCTTCGCGGAGCAGCGCCTCAAACTGGGGATGGCTTTTGGTCGCTTGCGCCAGCACCGTCATTGACTGCTGGTACGAGACCATGTACTGCGGGTAGAGCGGGAGGCCAGCTACCAGATCCTCCACCATGGGGATCGGCGTCGAAATGAGAGGGTCCTCGCGCCGCGCCCGCGACAGTTCGCGGTACGCGGTCGACGCGTGGGCGCGGATCTCGGCAAAGTTGCCAAAGATGAGGTCAAACGTCTCCTGCGGCAACAGCGGCTCCTCGGCCTCAAGCAGTGGATGGACGTACAGCTTCCATGCCAGATTGAGGTCCGACACATACCGCAGCTCGGACGCAAAGTATTCGTACACAAGCTCGTGCTCGGCAAGATCATGCTCCTCGAGATCGTCGTAGTCGAGGCCCGAGTCGCGGAGAAAGGTGAAGAAGTTAAGCGGGGCCGATGCTCGCAACAACGGGTTGGCCCACGTGTTCGAACGCTGCCGCTGCAGCGTCTCCTCGCGGTCTATGACCTTGAGCACCCCGCCCGGCATGCTCGAGCCCTTGGCCGTGATTGGCTCCGGCGCCGCCACAGGGCTCGGGAGCCGGTGGATCCCGCGCTTGACTGTGTAGTACTCGGTGTTTTCTCGCGTTGCCACATACCGCGCCCGCCACCTGCGCGCCATCGTCGGCACAGACATCTCCCGCGGTGCCGCCGCCGCATCCTCCTCCTGCGCAAGATAGTCCGGAATAGGGTCGTGCAGGTAGTCCTCCACCTCACCCAGTGACGGTGGTGGGCCAAGGCTCCACATGTTGACATCGTCGAGCTCGTCGTCCGATGAGCTCAGCACCACCCCGGTCAGCTCCGTCTCCGTCATCGAGCGCTCCGACAGGACTCCGCTGCCACCTGCACCGGCGCCAAACGAGCCGAACGACTCGGTCACGGGCTCTGTCAGTGTGTCAAGCAGCGCCACTCCATCGTCTGCAGTTGCACCGCTTTCTTCCAAGCTCACACGCCCGTCTGCGCTCTCCTCCACCGTCTCTCCAGTCTCGCTAGCCTCAGCCGGCGCCCCCGCATGCGGCGGCGCGTCGCTAGGGACTTGGTCCCCGTCCATCGACTCGGACCTACACATTCCGTTCGTTGCCCGCCAGCGCACACAGCCATATGAGTTCCATCTGCACCACACACGCACGTCCCTATCTCACTGCTACCCACCCTCACCAGCTCTACATTGCCCTGTCGCTGTCCATGCCTGTCCCTAGGTAGCGCACGGACGGAGCCAAAAAAGTGGCACCGTCCCGGAGGGGGGGGGGGAAGCGGACATGGTCACAGACCGGTGACACGTAGACACGTACATAGCCACAAGGGGTGCGTATGAAGCAAGAATCGGCTCTTAGGGGGGGGGGGGGGTTGTTCTTCAGCCGGGGGCCACACAGCTGACACCGAGTTCAGGAAGGAGGAGGGGGGAAGGAGACTTCCCGTAGGGACGGGGCGACAGGTGTGGTGTTTCGTGGCTACAATGGCCGGCAAGGGAGTGACTCGGCGGTGGTGGAGTCGGCCTGCGTCCGTGCGCGTTGACATGGAAGGTGAGTGGAGGCAATATTCACCCGTGGGTGGTAGGGTCGATAGAGGTATACGCCGGACGATCGCGCTGCGGCTGACGCTGGACATCGATCTGGAGGGGAAGGGGAGTGGTGGAGGTCATCTGTGGAGGTGGTGATGGTCCCGGTAAAGAGAGCTGAAGCAGGGAGGGGAGGGGAGCGCGATAGAGGGAAGGACTTTGCGGCGAGGCTTTGCTGCAACAGTTCGAGCTGGGCAAAGTCAGGCTCTGGCGCGAATGACTTGCCGCGACTTGCGTTTCGCGGAGAAGTTGCAGCTGTGACGAGAGCCATCAGCTTGCGGGCTGCACAACACGCCAGCGCAATTAATCCCGCCCCAACGGTGAGACGAACCGAGGGCCACCATGGGCGAGCACGGCAATCGGTGAGGTGTTGCTGGGGCTGGAACAGATATCGTCTCCTGGCAAGCTCGGCATCGGCTCGCACCTCGGGCCACCGCAAGCTAGGTCTCGGCGCTCGGGCTCCAACAGCTTGCAGCGTGCACGGCTGCAGCGCGGAGAGACGGCGATGCAAGGTAAAGCGCCAAAGCAACACGACTACAGCGGCGGAGCAGACGATCGGGATCTGATGTCGTCCATGACCACACCCAGTGCCTGCTGTGAGGCAGCCACATCAGCACGGGCCGACGCCTCAAACACCGTCCGCCAGCCGTCGTACGACGCCGCCGCCGCCGCCACCGCCGATGCCAGCGGGGCCTCTGGCGCAGTCAGCGCACGCACACGCTCGAGCGCATTGCACCTGTACACCCCCGCCCCTCTTTCATGTTAGTGCTCAATCTGGCCCTTCCCTTGCCCCGTCTCTGTGTGTGGGACGGGGGTGGCGGCATGGCAAGTGCCGCAGAATCAAGCCTCTCCACTCCCGCCTTTCTCTCCCGGCCAACCACAGCTACCGCACATACAGGTCCTGGACGACTCCAGAGATGTCTTGCAGCTCTTTCAGTACAGCACCCTGTTCGGGAGTTAGAGTCACTGACATAGCGTCACGTTTGAAGACAGGTGGCCGAGGCTTTAGACTTGGGGAGTGGCTGCGTGGCCGAGCGCGGCCTCGTTCGCCGCGAGCGACTACAGCAGGAACCCGACCTGCTTGCAAAAAGCGACAGCGAGGTCGGTCGGAGCGAGTGGGTGGTACGCACTGCGCCAGCCGTGGTGCCCGATGTTGAGCGTGACAAACAGCGGGTGTGGATCAGATGGCGGCTGGGTCTCGAGCGTGTGCTGATGTCGAAGATGTGCTGCGACGTAGTTGGGCGAGGCTACCGCAGCAAGCAGCGCATTCAGGGTGGTTGCAGCCGCCTCCTTGCTACTGGCAGGCATCTGCTGGAGTGCAAGCGGCTTTGCTGTGGCCAAAGGCTCCCGAAGCACTGCGTCTCTTCCGATCTCGCGCCACCAGCTTGCAGCAGCACTGACGAGTTCGGGCAGACCGTCAACATCGAGTAGGACGTCGACTGGAGTCGCGCCATACGATGCACTTGCTGCGGCGCGCTCAACGTCTTTGCGTGTGATCGCACGTGATGGACGGCCAAGCGCAGCGTACGGAAGCGCAGTGTATGCGTTGACAGTCGAGAGGGTTGTAGCCAGCGACATGTCGTGCCCGTCGGCTGACGGGGCCCAAGCACCCGTTGTCCACGACCGCGATAGCCTCGGCTCGGCAAGCAGAAGCGTGGATAGCTCGTCGCGGACGGTACGAGCACCAACGGCACCGGGACCAAGACCATCGCGAGAAAATGCAGCCAGGACGCCGTAGGTGTAGAACATTCGCCAGTGGATTTGCTCGCCGACCGGAAAGGGATGGGCCAAGAGGCTGCGGATGAGATAGTCGGCGACAGTTCCGGTGCTCTCGATGAGGTGCTGTGCCAGCGGGCGGACGACCAGCATTGGAGTGTGCGATGGAGGCGCTAGCAGTGACCGGCCTCCATACAACGCCTCGGTGTGGAAGTGGCTCCGATGCCGCGAGCCAGCGCTGCGCATCTGGGCCACCAGCGCGGCGTGAGCCTCGGCGGCAGCAGCAGGCACAGCATCGGCGAGGGCTCCGACAATCGCTCGGTCACGGAGGAGCTCGCGGGTGTGGTACATCGAGACCCACTCTGAGTTCAAGACATGCTCGTCCGAAACATGCCAAATCGATCGCTCTGGTGAGCTGCGCATCTTGGCAGAGAGCACGGCGTTTTCCAGAGTTGCGTCGTCAACGATGAGATGCGGCTCGACGTCGAGGCGGAGGCCGAAACGCGGGCTCCACCACGGCGAGAGGCCGCTTGGCTTGGCCACAAGCATACCTGGACGAAATACAAGCGAGAGAGGTGCAAGATCCGGAACGTATGCGCCAAACGCCGCCAACAGCTGGGTATTGAAAAGCGGGAGCGGCGAGTCGGCCAGCCTTGTCACCGCAGAGGCAGTCTTGGCTGCGAGGCTCGCCACGGCATCGGGCGCGATCAGAGCCAGCGCGTCGCACACCGCCTCAATCAGCTCAGCATGGCTCACAAGCTCTACTCGTGTGCCGAAACGGGCCTCAAGCCGGCCAAACGAAGCTTTGGTCGGGGTGACGACAACGACCTTGCGGATCCAGGGCATGTTGGCGATGATCGAGGCCACAGTAGCCTCGACGAGAACCGTTGAATTGAAGCGCGCATCGATGGAGTCTTTTCCAGCAGCAGCAGCAGAGCGGGCTGCAGAGCGTGCGGCTTGCTCGGTTGGGTGATCGGCGACGCCTGCGGAGCGACCGGCCCGACGGGCGGCGGCGGCGTAGTCCGGCTCAAACTGGTCTGCAGCAAAGAGGAGGGCATCAACACAGCCCAAGGCCCGCAGCGGGCCCATGAGCCGTGTCACCTTTCCGTGGCCCATGGCACCGAGAGTGCGCGCCAGTGGAGCGCACCACGCTGCGCCTGCGTTGCCCGGACGGTCGGCGCCGCGAAGGGTGGGGGTCGGCGCCGCTGGTGGAAACTGCAATGGCTGTAGCGTCGGAGCGAGGAAGAACATACCGATGGCTACGACAAGAGCGACATAGGCTCCGGCTAGCCATGCAGTCAGTGCCATGGCCGGCCTTCACTTGAGCCAGCCACAAGAGCGGTGTTTACTGCCCGGCGGTCGGCCCGCTGCTTGTCCGCGGGCGCGACGGCGACGGCGGACTGCTCAGTGTAGCGCGGTAGGATGGAGGCGCAGGCTGCGGCGAAAGTGGAGCGACGACCTCAAAGAGGGCGCGCCTGTCAAAGTCCGAGTAGATGAGAGCGCAGAGCCGCTCAAGCGAGGCAACGCCAGAGAGGTCGGTGTTGATGGCGGTGGCGGCGCCGTTGGCCTCGGTCTCGACCACCTTGGAGGCGACGCCGACCAGCGGGCCGATGAACCGGGCAAACGGCAGCTTGGCCGCCGAGGCGGTAGTCGGCGCAGCGGAAGAGCCCGGCTCGGGCCGCAGCGCCACGTTTGATGCCAGGAGCGCCGAGTGGCGCGCAAAGGCGACGTCAAGGCAGTCGCGGAAGACCGGGACCATGTCCGGCGAGCTGATGTGCTCGTGGAGTTCCGAGACGAGCAGGTCGAGCTTGGCGGCAAAGAGCGGATGGCTCGGGTCCTCGTCGGGCGTGGCTGGACTCGCTGCCGGCGGAGCCAAGGCGGCCAGCTTGGCGGCGTCGGCGGCGGCCTCGTCGGGGGTCGGCACCAGGTACTGCGCCAGCGGCGATGGTGCGCCGGCAGCGGCGGCAGGAAGCTCAATGTCGCGGCGGACGGCGGCGATGAGGCCGGCGATCGAGTCGACAGACTGCGGCTGGGTGAGCGAGACCGGGGCAAGAACAGCATCAACCGCAGCTTCGACATGCAGAGCAAGGCGGCGGATGCCGACCTTGAGGAAGAAGAAGCACCGCCCAAGGTACTTGTGCTTGAGCACATCAGACGCGCACGGCGCGCCGGTGGTGGCTGCCTGGACAAGATCCAGGTACACGTTGCGCCCGAGAATGTTGAGCTGGGTCCGGAACAGCACCTTGAGCAGCGCCACCGCATACACGCCCAACACTCCATGGATGACCGCCAGCCGGACAAGACGGAGCCAGGCCGCGGCCTTCTCTTCCTTGGACAGCGGCGTCTCTCGCGCAGCGCGCAGCTCGGCCGCTGTCTGGGCCATGGGCACAATGTCGCCAATCTGTTCGCCTACCAGCGCAATCCAACGCAACAGTGTCTCATCTGCAGCCTGCTGAGTCGTCTTAAAGTGGCTCTGCATGCGGGCGAGAACCTCATCGTCGTCGGTGGCATCGCTTGCCGAGCTCGGCCCGGCACCGCTCGCAAGCTGATCCTTCCACGGCATCTCACAATCCTCGCCGCTATCATCCTTTCCAGCCGCCGTGACCCGCCCATCGCGCCCGAGTCGCATGCCTGTCGACTCTGCCATGGCCTCGAGCGCCTGAGTTCCATACGAAGTAGCCGTCAGCTGGTCGTAGAGCCACACCGAGCCGGCGGCGGCCATGGTAGTGTATGCCACCTTGCGCCAGTGCTGGGCAAAGTACTTCCCCACGCACGAGCCAAACATATCTACAACCACACCACGCAAGCTCTCTATCTAGCCTTGGGGCTTGTGTGCTATTGGCGAGAGGAGTGGCCCCGAGGCTTGAGTACTGCCTCCCCCCCCCCCCCCCCCCCCCCCACCCTGGAGTGCTTTCTGATCTAACACCTTGCCATGACCAGCAACCCGGATCTTTGACCTGATACCAATACGCCATCCAAACAACGTCGGCCAAGAGGAAGTCATGCATCCGTGGCCAATATTGCATGGAAACGCGGTGGGCGTCGCCAGGGTCCCTCACTACCAGGGC